GCCTTTTTGATAATAATAATAATAATAATAATTAAACCTTAACAGTAAAAATTTCCGTGCGTTTATTCCATTACTCTTATTCCAAAGAGAACGCGATAAATTATTTTGTCCTTAATTCAAGCAGCAAATGCTAAAGTTCACTTTTTCAAAATGCTGCTGATATCAACTTTCAAACTGACGGTCAAATCATGCAGAATAATTTAAATAAGTCATACTTCTGACTCGAAGGAGGAAATAATCAAATTAAAACAGGTGGAGTTCTTGTTACTGATCACAGTGATTCATAAAACATTTGAAAATTTATGACCTTGTAAAGGTTAAATGAACAATTCATTTATAATGAGACAAACCTGAAATCATTTTCAGGAATCTCCCAAATCTCAATGGAGCCGTTAATTTCAGATATGATTGAAACAATGACGTCCAACTTTTTGTCGTTGTTGATGTCAACTCTTATCAGGTCGTAGAATTTTCTTCCTTTGTCAACAGCTGCCATTTTCAACTGAGACAAACATTATGACAAATATCTATTGAACTAACGAATAAAAAATAGCCATCGTAGCAAGTGACGAAACAAAAAAATCTTTCATCACCTGACTCGGATCATTCCAACTGCCTGGCGTCCCATCTTCAGACTCTGCCCACATGACACTCAATTGTTTCGCATAAGTACCGACGGCATATACAGCATCCCATTTTTGGGAGTTGGGAGCAGGAAATTGTATTGGAAAGAGGAACGAGTCACATGCATTCTGCAAAAGAACAGTATCTCTCCATGGCTTTGAAAATTCATAACCCGGTTCTGGTCTCTTCAGAAGAACAAGCTCAGATCTGTTATATACTCCTACAAAAAATTTTGATAAATCAAATAAAGTTCTTAATAAAATACTTAAACGTATACGGTTTGAAAATGAAGTTTTGTAAAATAAATATCAAAACTATTTTTTTCAATGGATAGACTAACCTGAAACAAACACAGTTCTGCATGATAAAATGTCCTTCTCACCACTGGGCGAAAGCTGTTTCAAGAACGCATCGCTGTAAAAATAATAAACATCATCATTGAGATGCGGTGATGATGTGATATCGTACGAAACAATGTTGTTGATGTCAGTTATGTTGGCGATGTAGATGTGCCCTTTCAGTTTGCCCAGAATGTCGCCTCCATCTGGAATCATCACCGTTTTTATTCCTGCAACCACATCTGGCGGTTTGAGAAGACAGCAAATTCAATGAATTGACCATTCTAAAACATTCCTATAAAGCTCAGTTTTTTAATGTGGCTTTGTTTCTACAGAAACTACACAGCCCTTGCGACAGACATGTGCAGTGCTAGATGTTCAGCAAGCCAGTTACATTCAAAATTGGTGATCGCATAATTATTTTTTCGATCATTTGTATATTTTCTAACGTAGAAACGGAATTATATGTTTTAGATTTTTTAAAATAAAATAATTCTCGAAAATTACCGTACTTTCGAACGTTTGAACTTCTTTTGGCCAATTGTAGAGCTTATCGAATGCAATCGGCTGAACTTCTGACAAGCGGCCGTTCAAGAAACGTCCAGGTCTGTCGATGATGTAGACAGCGTCCAAGCTGCTGCCGTTCCGTTCATCGCGAGTTGCCACAAAAATACTGAACTTCTCAGCGCTCCCAGCATTTACATTTTCATACTTACTAAGTAGAGCAGCATTTCTTAAGTTGATTGCACCGCGTAATGTTTTCGAATTTGCGATTGAAAACAAACAACAAACTAAACAAATGAATCTTTTCATTTTTTCAATAGTCGTATGATGTGTTGTAAATTTATGACCGAACATGTCATGTAATTAAAACTTTTAAGTTCGCATGCAGCTGAACTTCGGATGTTGGAATGTCGGTTGATTAGTTTTTGAACTTGGTTAAATTTCACATGTTTACTTAAACAAATTGTATTGAAAGTGTAAAGTAACATGTTTTCTTCTCACGTGTGAATATACGCAACTAAAAACTAATTTTTATGAACAGTAAAACATAAATGAACAAATCCATCCTCTTATCGAAATTTTTTAGAAAAGCTCGTGACATTTGTAGACTTTTTAAAATTATTAGAAGCGAAAAAACAGGGTCACTTTAATTACGAATAATTAAGGTAGAAAAATGCCTTTCCTGAGCAGCTGTTTATTTATTTTCTGATTTTCTTTTGATAATGTCACGCCTTTTTAGGTCAGAATAGTGTCATCAACATTTTTTTCAATTGCTTTCAACAAAACGTGTCAAAAAAGGTTAACAATATTTTTATTTCAAACTTTTTACGACTTCTAAAATTAAATCCTTTCATTTGAGCGAGAATTTGTAAACTGCATATACGTTTTAGCCAAGACTGTAGACCATTAACTGTCCTCCAACGTAATTGCTGACAACAACTTCCATGGCCCCATCTCCGTCGAGGTCTACCACAGCTAGACCACTTGCTTTCTGTCTTGCTCCCAAGTCCACTAGAACGTTCTTGGCGTACCTCCAGTCCTTAACATCTTGCGAGAGAGGCACGTAGTAGTACACGCGACCATCGTCGGCACCTGCCACGAAGATCCAGGGCTTGCCTACTTTTCTGTTGGAAGAATTGTTCCATTTTCATTCAACATCTCTAACAATTACAGTCAAAATTACAAAGCGCCCAACTTTTAACAGCTACAATGAATTGTCGTCAACATACTTGAATGTTGGATGTTGAACATACACGGCTCCAGGTGTCATGCCAGTACCGACACCAGCTCTTGAATTGTAGGTGTCGAGAACTCGTCTTGTGTAGTTGGCTACCAATCTATACCGACGAACATTTGTCATTGTCATTATTAAAAAGTGTTAGATATAGCTTTTTTCAATTTTCCAATGAAATATGAAACTTATATTACGGTGAAAAAAATAATGTACCAACCTGAAATCCTTAGCAGGAAGTTCCCAGATTTCGACGGATCCATTGTAACTTTCAACTGTTGCGATAATGTCCACTTTAAGATCGTAATTGACGTCAACTGCTTGCACGTCACTAATCCTCCTCCCTGACTCCAGTGCTAACATTCTAATCTAAGGTTGAAATAAAACTATTAGCGACAATTTTTTAATATGCTTTCTTGAAATATTCATTCATGTCTTTATAGTTACTCACGTGGGTTGGATCATCCCAGTTTCCTTGAGTTCCATTCTTGGCTTCGGCCCAGATAATGCTCAGTTGTTTAGTGTTGGAACCAGCTGCATATACTACATCCCATTTTTTGAGGACTGTCTCAAAGAATTGTATCTCAACGAGATTTGCATCACAAACCTGCTTCATGAGTACCGTATCTTTCCATGGTGCCAAAAGAGGGTCTCCAATGGTAGGTCTTTTCAGGTGGACAAGTTCGGAATTGTTGTATACTCCTGGTCAATTCAACAAAATGTATTAATATTCATTTTTTCAATGTTGAATGTATCAAAATGTATTCATTATTCAGCCGATATTTGTTACTTGTGTCATGTCCTAAAAGCAAAAGTACGATTGCAAGAAAAATTCAATTGTCAGTCTGTTAAAATATTATTAGCAGGGGTAGGAATAGTGTAGATTCTATTTAAATTCAAATCAATTGCAATGAAATTTTGCAAATAGGAAATCCTTACAAACATATGAATCAAACCTCAAACCTGACACATAGACAGCTCTGCAAGTAAGAATGTCTCTCCCGCCGACCAGAGAGAATTTTTTGAAGATGGCATCCGTGTAATGATGAGAAACTTTCAAGTTAGGAGTGCGTGGGGAGGTGATGTCGTACGTGATGATGTTTTTGAAGTTGGTAACGTTTGCGATGTTTATGTGGCCTTTAAGTTTTCCGGCAATGTTGGCACCATCAGGAATCAAAACTGTATCCAAGTTGAAATCGGTATCTAAAAGCAAAGTGTTTGTCTTTCTTTTATTTGAGTATGAAATTATTGTACCAAATTATCTAAGAATAATTAATTACCATCAAGTTGTTTCATTTGTCTTGGCCAGTTGAAAAGGTCATCGAACGGAATGGGTTCTACTTTGCGCAAGTCACTCAAGAAACGTCCAGGTCTATCAAGGACGTAAGCATTGTCAACGCTGTTGGGTCTTGTGTCGTAAGTCGAAACCAACAAACTGTACTTTGAGGAACCATTGAGGACAGTTTCATCATTATATAAACTAACTAGTGCTGCATTTTTAACTGAAACCGTTCCACGAAGTTTTTGGGAATTTGCTACAGAAAGCAAAAGAAATGCACATGTAAGAAGACAGCAGACCATTTTAAATGTTTCCATTGTACCTCACATACCGTCCAGTGGCCGTACCTAACTTTGATATAAGGTCTCTGCATTTAAATATGACAGATAAATGGTTTTATCTTATCAGTATAACAAAAGAATTGTTCGTTTTAATCTATCACTGTCTTGAACTTCGTTTCACAAAATTGATCTCAGATTTTAACATCTTGCTTGAGTGGTTGTATTTTTAGCTTTCCATATTGATAATGTTTTGTAGTTCTCGATAAAAAAAAAATCTGCTTGCATTGTCTGCCTAATCTCCGCCCCTAATTTAATTTTCAATTCGTCCGTGTGGTCCTGCTCTTTAATGATCTATTTTTGTCTTATCGTAACTGTGTTAAATAATTTTAACTTCATTTAACGAGAATTTAACTCAAGTGTTCTCAAAACTCAGCTGATTAGATAATCAAGTATGTGATTTGTGATGTGTTTTTCTTTTAGTTCTGCTAACTAACAATGATCCCGATCATGGTATCTTTGCATCTTTGCTTTCTGATTCAAATATTTTTTTTCAATAAATCGTCGGATATCGCTTCAATTTTAATTCACTTCTAAATAAATAATTTGTTTTTAACAACAACAGAGTACCATTAAAAAATGTCTTTTCGAGGTGTAAGGCAGAGCAAATTCCGTCACGTATTCGGCCAGGCGGTGAAGAGAGACCAATGTTATGACAACATTCGAATAACAAAGAGCTCCTGGGACTCGACATTCTGCGTAGTAAACCCAAAATACCTTGCCATCATCACTGAGGCTGCCGGTGGGGGTTCTTTCCTCGTTCTCTCACTTGAAAAAGTAAATCTCTGATATCTATTTGAACTAATTTGCATAAATAAATTTCTGACACCTATTAATTTTTAATAAATTTTTGACATCTATCTAATGCTAATCTAATCTGATTTAAATATAATAAATTTTTACATCTATCTAACATGTCAACTAACCCAAATTATTTATTAATGTGACCAATCCAGACAGGGCGTGTGGATAGGGATGCCCCCCTGGTGGTTGGCCACAAGGCAGCCGTGCTTGACTTTCAATGGTGTCCCCATAATGATGACATCATTGCCAGGTATGATTGTGTAAAGATTACAATAAAGATTACATATAACTAAAATAAATATAATGACCTTCGCTCACTCTCAACGGTCGAACAAGGAGCTTACTTCCGGAGGGGAGTTGGAGCGTGATTTTCATAGATATATGGATATATATTCATGGTGATTTTTTATTGTTCGAGTCAAAAGTTACGATTGTATATTTACTAACTACGGAATATTGCTTTTATTTTAAATGTTTAAATTTTATTTTTTTTAAATTGTTTTTCAATGTGGTAATTAATTACTTTTATTTGGTACAAATTAAAAAAAAAATCGACATTACCGAAAATAATTAAAAGTTGAAAAAATTGAGATTCTTTACATATCCTGCTTCAACCCATAAGAAAGTTTTGTATATTGGTAAATAGGCCAATTTGGAAGATTATGTGTAAAGAAAGATTGTGTGTTGTGTAGAGATTGTGTGTTGTGTAGAGATTGTGTGTTGTCTAGAGATTGATTGATTTAAAAGTTAAACAAAAATTACATATTTTCACCTAAACCATAATTAGTGGTTCTGAAGACTGTACAGTTAAAGTGTGGCAAATTCCAGATGGGGGCCTAACAAAAAATCTCGAGGAGCCTCTGTGCGATCTGGTCTTGCACCAGAGACGTGTTGGTCTCGTCGTCTGGCATCCCACTGTTCAAAATGTTTTGCTGAGTGGAGGTTTGTGTATATATATATGTGTGTGTGTTCATGTGCGTGTGTGTATCTGTGCGCGCTTGTGTGTGTTTGATTGCCCTTGAGCATTTCAAAATTTTTTTTTCTATTTAATGCAAATATCATTGAAAAAATTATAATTGATAGTGCATCGTTTTTATTTGAGCAATTTTTCTCATCAACCTTTTTAAAATCAAACATTAATTTTAACATGTTATAACAGGCTCTGCATGCATTTCAGAATATTATTTTTAAATTTTAATAAAAAAAAATGAAAAAAATTTTGTGGCCAGGATCAGACAACAAGGTGATCATATGGAATGTTGGAGACGGAGAGCCCATCTTCGAAATTGACTTTCCCGACATTCCACTGAGCGCCTCATGGAATTGGGTGGGGTCAAAGTTCGTGGTCTCTTGTAAGGACAAGAAGGTCAGGGTGGTTGACCCGAGGAAAGTCCAGATTCTTAGTGTCGGTATTTTCATTCATTCACGAGCCAATTTTACAGTTTATTATAGTTATCTAACTATTCATCATAATTTCTTTCATTCAGTCAGTCATTCACTCATTATAATTATTATAATTGTTATAACTATTATAATTATGTGACCGTAGGAGGCCTGCTGCCACGAGGGCAACAAACCCACACAAGTTGTCTACCTGAAAAACGACACCATCTTCACCACCGGGTTCTCAAAAATGAGTGAGAGACAGTACGCTCTTTGGGATGAGGTGAGTGAATGGAGTGATGTGATGGAAAAATAAGATGAGAATGTGGTGAAAAATATGGTGAGGGTAGATGATGATGCGAGAACGTTGGTCATTATAAATGATAAGATGATAGCGAGTATGATGATATTGTTTATAGTTATGTAAAAGTTATTATTATTAATTGTTATTATCATTCACTTTAGAAATTGTCAAACATGACCATGCAAGAGGTCGACTCAAGCAATGGCGTCATGTTCCCATTCTACGACCCTGACACTAATATCGTTTATCTCTGCGGAAAGGTAAGATACCAACTTTTCACTATAGCCACCAGTAAAATTGTTGCTAATAAATTTTACAACCAATCATATTTAATCCTCACTAAAACCACAGCCAATCATATACAAGTATAAATCAATATCTACCGACAATGTATTCCGTTATAATAAAATCAACCAATCAGATTAACACCCAAAGAATGAAATTAATTCCCATTATATGACATCAATCAATCAAGTTAACATCCGCAAAAACCGACGACCAATAGGGTGACAGTATGATTCGCTACGTAGAGGTGACAGACGATCCTCCGTACGTTCATTTCTTGAGTATGTACCAGTCGTCTGATCCGCAGAGAGGATTTGGCTGGATGCCAAAACGTGGGCTCAATGTCAATTCCTGCGAAATCGCCAGGTACTAATTAATGATGATGACGGTGATGATTTTCTTAATCATTGTCCTCACTATTTTCATAATCATATCACCATTTTTATTATCACCATCGTCGTCTTCTTTATCTTCGTCGTCACTCCCGTCATCATCTTCTTCATCATCATCACCATGATGATTATCACCGACTTTTTCGTCGTCGTCATCATCCTTCATTGAAAACCAATGCAGATTTTATAAACTGCACGCCAAAGGCTTGTGTGAGATCATTCCTATGACAGTTCCAAGAAAGGTTTTTTATTTATAACATTAAAAATAATAATAATAATTATTATTATTATTATTAATTATGGTATAATGGTAATTTCTGTCTACCATTCCTGTGAATGTATGCCTCTCAGTACACTGTATACCTAATTAGACACCTCTAACCATTACAAGAGAGAGCGAGAAAGAAAAAGAGAGAGAGAGACAGATGTTATAATAATGTTAATAATAATATATAATAATAGCTATTATTATAATTTTTTGCAGTCTGAGTTGTTCCAAGATGACCTCTATCCCGACACTCTGGGTGACATTCCAGCCCTGACGGCTGACCAGTGGCTGGCTGGCAAGGATGCTGAACCCATCCTGGTGAGTTGAGGGTTGAAATGTAATTATAATATATTAAAATAATAAAACAGTCATAATTTATTATTGGAATGATAATATTGTTACACATGACGTTATGGGTTATTGATTATGTTTTTATGAGAGTTTGAAATGTTAAGTAAAATGGATCGCTTGATTGGGTGCTTTTTGGCAACATCAATTTTCACTAATAGAAGAACCTTAAGTTTGTAATTAATTACTGAGAAGAAGTACCTCACTTTGTCATCATTCCCTGCAAGATCCCATTGAAAGATGGATATGTGCCAACAAAGAAGACAGCCATGAACAAAGTAACAAAATCAGCAACAACAAACGTATCCACCGTCAAACCAAACGGGGCAGCAGGCGTCGGCACTACAGCAGCTTCAACAACAGCAGCATCATCCACGGCAGCTACAACAGCAGCTGCAACAGCAGCAGCGACAGCTACTACTACACCGGCAACAGGTCCAACATTTGTTGCTAATACGGATCTTCAGCATGGAGATAGTGTGGAGAATAAGGTCCTGAACAGTCACAAGGATGGCAACTGTGCGGCTGCCATTGCTAACAGTGCGACTGCCATTGCTAACAGTGCTGGCTCTGCTCAACACCTCAAAGGCTTTCCTGACTCCAATCAGGTTTTTGTTTAATTTTGATTCGAGTAACTTCTGTGTGAATGTGTGGTTGCATGCTTAGACGAATTTAGTTAAGTAATTGGGATAGTTAGTAAACATTTGATGATCATTATACCTCTAGATTGCGTATCAAATTCATATATAGTGAATTTTATGTGGTTCTAAATATGTGAGACTGACGTTCTAGATCACCGCAACAAGTACCTCTTGTTAGATACCATTGTTGTTATACAACGCATGCTCTATTTATAAATGTACGCTCCTTTATCAAGTTTCTCAAAAATCTTAATGTCTTATCAAATCCTGTCATATATCATTGCCATTATAGTGCAATATCTCAATTGTTATCATTTCAACATGTTACTAGAAAACAGTATCATCGTAGATAGATTGTATCATTATGTCTTAATCGTTACTTTTTTATTATATTCATTGTGTGTGTATATATAGAGAAAGAGAGAGAGAGGAGAGACAGAGAGGGAAGAGGGAAAGAGAGTTGCGTCATCATTGCGTTAACATATCATTCATTCATCACATCATTGCGACATCGTCATCACAACAGTGTCATCATCATTATATCATCTCCAATCCAATCGTCATCATCACCATCAATCAATCAATCGTCCAGGCTGTCGTGATGGAAGGCCTACTGGACGACATTCGCAAGTTGAAGATCATAGCCAAGGGACACGAGCGTAGGATCAAGTTTCTGGAAGAAAAGCTGGCAGCCTATGAGATGGATGATGACGAAGATGACGACGATGAAGCCGCTGCTGATGACGATGCAGACGCTGCCGGCAAAAATGAAGTCAAGTAATCGCGATGACGACGACGACGATGATGATGGTGGTGACGATGAATGATGATGGTGACGATGGTAAGGTCATTTGAAATAACTGTCATCACAATGATGATGTTATGATGGTGGTTGTAAAGTAAGGCTAGGACAATTAGGTCAAATAACTTGTATGATGATTATGATGATGATAAGTGAGATGATTATGATTATGATGAAATTGAGTAGAGAAAATAATGATGTCAGGTGGAGGATGTTTATACCTGATGAACCAACCCAAAATATTATCCGTTGTAGTATTCGTTTCACTATAATAGTATATATTTTTTATGGCACGCTATATATATATATATACATATATATATATATATATACATATATATATATATATATATATATATATATCTACTTATTAAATGTATGTTTATGTGTAATATACATATGTATTTATATGTATATATATATATAAATTTCCTAATCTTATCTATGAGTTGTTGTGAACCTAATGTAAATGTATGTGTATGCGTGCGTGTGTGTGTGTGTGTTTGTGTCTTATTATTTCTATTACAGGCTATGTCTGATCAAACGTGATCTATATAATATTCCATTTATTCATTCATTCATTCATTTATTCCTTCATTTCTTTATTGATTTATTTGCTTATTTATTTATTAAATCTTTATTTATTTATTTATTGCCAAGTTATCTATCCATATGATATATACTGTGTAAATATGCTTGCATTCGTGTGCTCGTATGCCTGTGTTTGTTTGTTTGTGTATGTCTGCCTTCCTATTTATTTATTTATTTTATTCTATGTATATATATATATATATATATATATATATATATATATATATATATATATATATATATAGAATATATATATATATGGCATATTTTTCTACCTATCTATAATTTTTCATATTAATTAAAATTTGTGTTTGAGTTTGAGCATTTTACTTTCAGCTGATATGATGATGGTTCATTCCAACGTTATGAATTCCATGTTATACCGACATACACATACATACATACACTCATACATACATACATACATACATACATACATACATACATACATACATACATACATACATACATACATACATACATACATACATACACATACACAGACACACACACACACAAACATACTTGACATTGTTTTTAACGAGATTTTTGTATCTTAATTACTGACACAGCATTCATTCATTCAATCCATCTTCTAGACATTTTTTATACAAACCTACGTGCATGCGTTTTAGTTTTAACATATATTTGATTAATTTTATACTATATTTATATATGATATATATATATATGGGATAAAATTATACCATATTTTATACCATATATTATTTTTATTCGACTGTTTTATATTATTAACTTTCTTTGGTTTTTGATGGTTCTTGCATATGCGTGTCCTTCGTTATGTAGTAACCTTAGTAACCTTAATGGCCAGTTTTTTTTTCAATAAAATTATAATTATTTAATCAAAAGAGAAAGAGAGAGAGAGAGAGAGATGGATTGTGGTTCTTTTTGCAGTTGAACCCAGGCCAGTTCATATCGTTTCAACAAGTTTTTCAACGGCCACACTCTGAAATTAAATGCTCACTACTTTTCATTTGGCTTTCCATATTTACTTTATTTTTATTTGAAATTCATGATGGCGGTTGGTGATGATGACGATGATGATGATTTGGTAATGATAGTATAATGATAGATCTAAATACTGTTATAAAATATATATATATTTGGGTGTGTTTGCGTGTGTGTGTGTGTTGCGTGTGTGTGTGTGTGTGTGTTTCGGTTTTTTTCATTTTATTTATTTTTTACCCGGCTTTGCAATGAGTTAACAAATAATGCTTTCTAATCAGAATGAATAATAATTAACGATTGATTCATCTATTGTTCTTCTTATTCTTGCTATTTTTTTTTATTATTGTTGTTGTTGTTGTCGTTGTTG